GGGGGGGGGGTGTCGCCCCCCCCCCCCTGCCATTCTGCTGACAAGGCACTTTTCCCTGGAGCAGCCCAAGCGTCAGACACATCGGGGTGAGGTGTGGCCCTGGGGAACATCCCTGCTGCGGCCGGGATTGGCGCTTTCACGCCCAGCTGCGGCTTCATGGGGCACTTCTTCCAGGAGATGTGGGTGCTGCACAGGCTGGTTTGGCTCCCACGGGGTGGCACGGCACGGCCCCTGCTCCGGGGGAATGCAGCGGGGTCCCTCTGCACCTCCACCACCCGGTGTGGCTCGCTGCAGGAGCTGCATCAGCTTCGGGTAGAGGCAGGAGGGACTGGGGGCTGTTTCTCATGATAAGAGGGTGATTGATACGCTGGTATGCAGCACAGCAGACCTGAAACAATGTCCCCTTTTCATTCCCGCAGAGGAGAGGTCTGGCGGTACCGAGTTTCTCCAAGTTAAACTAATCTCGGCTGTTTTATCATGCCATCGCTGTAGAATGTAACCCTGAGTTTAGAGTAATTGCAGGACTAATTACTCATTCGGATGGTTCAAAATGAGTTAATCCTGGTAGCGAGGACATTGCCAGTTATTGCTGTTCAGTCTCAGCCCAGCTGCTTAAAAGTGAGGCACAAATCAATGTTATCGGCTCTGGATGCCAACCAGCAGTCGTAAATAGCTGCTGCTGCTGCTCCTCGTGTGATGGGGCTGAGGTTATGGGGGAGAAGAAAACATGGCCCTTCGGAGAGAGCGAGGGGCAGACCCCCAGCTGGGCCAGGGTCTAGGGTCCCACTGAGGGTGAGCCTGGGCACCAGGGCCCTTCCTGGGAGGCGGAGGTGACGCACTGAGCTGCTGCCTGCGCGTGGGAGCAGCCTGGTCTGGACCTGCAGAACGCCTTGGGCAGTTTAGGGGAGCTGCAGGTGCACGCCGGCACCGTGGGGAGCTGCCATGGGCTGGCATTGCCATCCCGACCCTGAGTGCCTGAGCGGGCTGGGAAGGAGCTGCCAGACAGCAGCTGGATAGGGGGCTTTGGGGGTCTTGGAGTAAATGCAGCTCTTGACCCAAGTGGCGTTGGAGGGGGACAGGGTGGCTTGGCAGATGCCCTGAAAAGGGCCTGGCTGTGTCATTCCT